AATGCCGAAAGTTGAATTTTGGGAAAGTTTGACCGGGGGTGACTTTTTGATATCGAGGTCGGAATCCGATTCTAAAAATTAAAATAGGTTTGTTATGTCATTTATGACTTGTATGCAAAATTTGAAGTCATTCCGAATTGATTTGATGTGTTTCGGCATAAGATATAGAATTTGAAAGTTCAAAGTTCATAGATTTTGATTTGAGGTGCGATTCGCCGTTTTGATGTTATTTGATGTGATTTGAAGCCTCGACTAAGTTAGTATTGTATTTTAGGACATGTTGGTATAATTGGTTAAATTTTCGAGGGCCTCGGGTGGATTTCGGACAAAGAGGGTTGCTGGAAATTTCTGTTGCAGAGTTGTTCTCCAGAAATTTCTGGTGCGTGGAGCCAACTGTGGAAGATTATATCTCGCAATCTATAAGGAATCTAAAAATCTTTAAAACGTCAAAATTGTATCCCTTTGATTCTAGTTTTCAGAAAGTTAAACTATTTATTATTTGGACATTTGTACAGAAAGTTATGCTGGATTGAATGAAGGCTGGTAGAGCAGTTTCGCCAGAAATTTCTGATGCGTGGAGCCGATTTTGAAAGCTTATATCTCGCAATTCATAAGGAATCGGAAAATTATCAAACATGAAAGTTGTAGTCTTTTGATTCTAAATTCCAGAAAGTTAAACCATTTATCATTTGGATATTTGTACATAAAGTTATGATTGATTGAATAAATACTGGTGCAAGCAAGTTCTGGTGTGGATTTTTAGTGACGGAAAATGAACTTTTAGTGACAGATGGGCAGAAACTTAAGGACCAAAAATGGTCATTTCCTTCATTTCGTTTTGAATTTTTGGAGCACGGTTCTTGGACAAGTTTTGGACGATTTTCACGGAAAAATATTGGGGTAAGTGTTCCTTATCCTATATTGATTATATTTCATGATTCCATACTCATTTACATCATGAATCCGTGAATTTATGGAAGAAAAATCAATATTGTTGCAAAATCTTCCAAAAACAAAAATTTAAAATTTGGAGGTCGAGTTATTATCGAAATTTGATAAAATTGGTATAGTTGAACTCGTATCGGAATGGGTATTCGAATTTCGTAAAAATTATATTGGGTTCCGAGAGACGGGCCCCGTGTTGACTTTTGTTGACATTTTAGAATAAATTTTCAAGTCGAAGTTTTATTATCCGGAATTATTTTCGATGAATTTTAATGAAGTTATACAATTAATTTGGATAGATTTGAGCTGTTCAGAGGTCAATTCAAGCAAGAAGACTATTTTAGAATATCAGCTTAATTTCAAAAAGGTAAGTGTCTCACTTAACCTCGAGTGGGGAAATTTTTCCTTAGGCATCGAGTCTTATGTGTCATTTGTGAAATGTGAAAAGCCGTGTACGCGAGGTGACGCGTACGTACTCGGGCTTATATGTGCAAAATTTATTGAGTTAAAGTCTTGGACATATTGTGTAGTAAATTGAATAATTGTTGGTATATATTTAATCATCTAATTGCCATGACTCAAATCACAATTATTGAACTTGTTTTTATATGACAATTCAATATAATTATTACTTGTATAGTTATGTAATTTTCATGAGTTTGATGGTTTGATATTTCTTGGAATTTGATTTCATTATGAATTTTTCCTATGCAAGTAATTAATTAAGCAAGCTTAAGAAGAAGTGTTAATACAATTATCTAAATTTGGATTAATGAAGGTGTACCCTATGTTGATTATTTTTTTATCTCTGTTGATTGTTTTTGAGGTTTTATATACATTGTGTGGAATCTTGGGCTATTTATTGTGAAATTAATTGATTTTGTTATATCCTTGGAATTGGTTGTGGCCATTGTGCAAATTGTGATATGAATTGATTTTTGTTACGTTGTCGTGATAATATTCCGTATAAATTGTTGTGTTAATTGAGTTATCATTTTGAGGATATAAGGGTGGCATCTCACTGTTGATATTATGCGGGCATAAGGGTGGCATTTCACTGTTGTTATGTGTGTTGGGGTATTGTCTGGGTGGAGCGATAAGGGTGGTTATAGGAGCGATAAGGGTTGCTATTAATATTGTCAGGGCGGAGAGATAAGGGAGGCTATTGTAGGAGTGATAAGGGTGGCTATAGGAGAGATAAGGGTGAATATTGTGAGGGATGATATGTAATGATGTGGGGTTATTGCGTTGAAAATTTTTATGTGATTTTTATTGTGTTTATTTTTATATCTTGTGCAATTGATCTTGTTGTTGGTAAATTGGTAATAGTCTGATTTATGTTGAAATTGGGGTCCGTGACCATTGCCATGCGGATTATGATATGAAAATGTGGGCACAAGATGTCGTGATTAAATAATGATGATATTGGCACGTGAATTGTCTGTGCAGTTGTGATAAGAAATGAGGGCACGAGGTGCCGGAAAAATATGATGATTTAATTATAGGCACGAAGTGCCGTGAAAATATGAAAGTGAGCTGAGACCCGTATTTATAAAAAATATGAAAATAGGCCGAGACCCGTAGTTGTATGATTATGAAATGAAGTGTCACATGGTGACTTTTTTTAATTGAAAGAATTATATTCAAAATATTTATTTGGAAGGATTGTTATTCAAAAAGATTTATTTGAAAGAATTACATTCGGAAGGTATTTATTTGAAGAAATTATATTTGAGAGAGATTTATTTAAAGGAAGTATATTTGAAAGATATTTATTTGAAGGAACTATATTTGAAAGAGATTTATTCGGAAGAATTGTATGTGTGATATTTATTTGAAATACTTGATTTAATTGGGTGTATTTATATTTATAAATTGTTGAGCGTTATTAATGGTGTTCTTGTTGCACTTATTATTATTTATTTCCTATTATTTTGTATATCTTATTGCACAGGCTATTAGACTAGTGAGTGTCTTGACTGTACCTCGTCTCTACTCCACTGAGGTTAGTCTTGATACTTACTGGGTACCGACCGTGGTGTACTCATACTACGCTTCTGCACATTTTTGTGCAGAGCCAGGTATTGGAGCTATCGGACTCGGACAGAGTTAAAGTGTGATCGCAAGGATTCAAGATAGAGTTGCTTGGTCGTCGCAATCCCTTGAAATCTTTTCATTTTATTGTACTGTTAATTATTAATCAAACAGTATTGAGTATTCGATCCTTGAGATCATTTCATGTATTCAGTTAGAATTCGTGACTCAGTACTACCAGTTTTGGGAGGTTGTTATATTCATATTTGTTCCGGTGTTAGTTTTTATTACCTATTCAATTCATATTCAAAAAAAATAGCTTCGAAATGTAATGAAAATCGGCTTACCTAGTCTTAGAGACTAGGTGTCATCACGATGTTTGTGGCGGAATTTTGGGTCATGACAGTAATTTCACAAGTAGAGTCTGAAAAATAGCGTGTATGTAGATCTTACCTCTATCTAATATAAATAAAGAGATTATTTCGGATAAATTCTCAGCTCAAAGAAAACAAAATCCACTAACCACTGTTTAACTCTGTCATTGAAAAAATAGTCATTGGAGTTTTAAATTCTACAAATGAAAATCCAAAATAATATTTTAAAATTTCACGTATAAAATTTAAAATTTCAAAACAATATTTATTTTTCAATTACAAAAACTAAAAAATGACTATTTGTAAATTTTACCCCTTGAAAGAAACTAAAGTCGGTAATCAAGATTTAGGTGGACAAGTAGAACCAAAAAATAACAAGACAAGGCTCAACTTTGAGGAAATTCCCAAAACGCGAGAGATCATGGCTTCACGCGGAGAAAATGTTCAAAATGTATAGGAGTAGGATTATTTTGATCGTTAAGATATACCCAGTAACAAAAATTGTACTTTCCCTTCAATTTGTATGATACATTTTTCCTATTAGTATGCTAAAAAAATAAAAATAATTTTATATTTGAAAATAATTTAATTTTAAATTTTTTTTAATCATTTTACCCTTAATTAAAAGTTTTTATAGTCAATAGTCACACACATATCATAGTTTCATAAAGCTTTTACCTTAAATTTTTAGGACTATAAATTTCAAAAGTTCATAAATCCAGTGTCGAGTTAAACTATCACATATATTAAAACGGAGGGAGTACTTCTTAATATTTGCAAAAGTGGATAGTTGTGGTCCTAAATCTTAGCGGTGGCGGAGCCACATTGAAGCAAGGGGTGTCAAGCGATACCCCTTCGCTAGAAAATTATACTATTTTGCTAGATAATTTTTTTTATTTTATGTATATTTACTATACGTTGACTCCCCTTAACTTTTCGATGTATCTAATTATTTATATTTTGACACCCTTTGATGAAAATTCGGAATCCGCCACTGAATCTTAGGGGTCATTTGGTTGCAGGGATTAGGGGTTATCCCAATATATAATTTGAGATTAAATTTATCAAGTTTTTGGTGGCAGATATTCGCTAACAGCTTGTTTGGATGGTTGTTACCCATTGTATTATATCGTATTGTTACTTTAAATACGATATTTGTTTTGATTGTTACTTAAATTTTATTGTATCGTATCGTTAAATCCGTCGTTACATAACGACAAAATGTGCCACTTTATGTAACGATCGATTTGGTGTGGTCGCGTCGTTACCTTGTCTTTTTCTCTAAATCTCACCCTTCATTATTATTAAATAATTTTATTTTATCATTTACCCTACCTTTTTATATAATAATTTTACCATGTATCATAATTGTTCTTTATAATATTACAAATTTATTTTTCATATTGTTGATGCGTGATATCATGAAACGATGGCAAACGACACAATCTATTCAAACATTGTATTTATCAAACGATACAGTACAATACAATACAGTATGATACGATACATTATGAAACGATACGTAACAACAATCCAAACAAGCTGTAAAATCAGAATAAGATTTATACCAAAAATGGTAGGACTATTTATTCCGTATAAAAAAATGTGGGATTATCCATCTTAATTATAATTCCAGTATAACCAGGTTTTAAACCAAACAAACCCTATAAGTAACCGTTTCCTTAAAATTTCAGTTAAAACTTTCCGATGACTTCAACCCCCAAAACAGAAAACACGAAAACATTAGTCAATTTTATAAGCGTTGACTTTCACTTGCTTTTATAGGACTTCTCTGTTTATGGATGAGTTGTATCAAAATGAGGATTTTGAGCTTTCCATTCTATACTTAGAGAGCAGGTTAGTAATTACTGGTTTGTTTATGGTAAGAGATTAGTTATTGGATTCACATAAAAGCAAAAGATGTATTAGAATTAATATACGGTGATTTTGGCTTTGCTGGGAGATCTAGTGCTGGAGGCTGCAGAGAGGCGAATACAGGATCTAAGTTCTATGGCTCAACCAGTAAGGTTTTAGCATTCTACCTATTGTATATTTAAAATTATGCGCTTATATCTACTATTTGTTATAATTTTAGTGTATTTTTATACATAAATTTATGTTTTTCATCGAAAGTAATGAATTCAGATGAATCTGGTGTCGCAACGCTGAATCCATGCTAAGTTAAACGGAAAATAAAAGGGGCACAAATCCTTCAAAATCATGGCTCCAGTTCTTTGTTTTGTGTTTTGGGGTTAAGCAAGCCTGATTCGCGAGATCGCTGTTAAGTTTAATTAAGTTTTTGAGGGAATCTATTACTTTTAGATTTAGGACCAAAATTCCCTAATTAACCCCTATACATGAAGGACCATTTTGATCATTTTCTCGCTTCAAGAAAAAATGGCAGTTTTAGTAGTAGTAATTTGAGATATTCATCAATGTCGAAGAAACAAAAGAATAGAGTCACTGGAGTTGAAAAACCCCCAGATCGTATCAGTCAGTTGCCGGAGGCACTCCTGGTACAAATTCTCTCTCTTTTGCCAGCCAAAGATGCCGTGGCATCATGTGTTCTTTCAAGAAGGTGGCGTTATCTTTGGAATTCAATTGATAATTTCCTTTTCGTTGGTAGTAATTTCAAGAAAGCTGAAAACTTTATATCCTTTGTGGACCATGTTTTGATGCATTCCACTTGTTCCAAAATAAAAAAATTCCATCTCCATTTAGATTACACCTCCGATTTGAACTTTGACTGGAGAATCAGCCGATGGATTAGTTTTGCTGTAGAAAGGAAAGTGGAAGATGTTGTCTTGTGTTAATTTGATAAAGATCTATTGACTCTGGTTCGTCATTGATTACATTTGATTGGAGCTGTTACGTGTCTGATAAAGGATCGGTCATAGAGTGGAAGTCACTGAAAACCCTAAAGATGAACTATATTGTGTTAGATGATGACGAAATTGTGAAGTTACTGTCAGGTTGTTCTTCTTTGGAAACTCTGGAGTTGTCTTTCTTTGATGATTTTTGTCGTCTGGAAATCACTTCTCCAAATTTAAAGAGACTTAAGTTGGAAGAGTATTGGATGCCAAATGACGATGATGATCACTCATTGGAACGTGGACTTTGAGCAATACGGTTTTCATTTGACTGTAGACTTGCATTTGATCTCGATTATATTCTTTCTCCGGTTGAATCCTCTTCGATGCACATTTGAGATAGCATATTTGGCCAGAGGAGATGATATTCATTTGCTGTCAAGCTTCGGGTTTCCTAACCTCAAGGATGTTAAAGTTGTCAGCTCCTCAGGGATGTGTCTGAACTCTGAAGGAAGATCCTGAATGGGATTATGATAAATTTTTCAAACTTTCTGAACTTATTCTAAAGAATGCACTGGTTTTGGAGAAGTTCGTAATTATATCAAGGAGATCAAGAAAGTGCAAGAGCTGTTCAATGAAATAGTGTCTCGATATTCAGTTCGATTGGCTGAGAAATTGGTAGGTTCAGGATCCTCTACCAATTCAGTGATTATTTTCCCGGAGGAAGCTTTCGATGACTAGATTGCAAGTAGTTTTCTGTTTCAGCATGCCAGAAATGTTACCTTATATTTAGTTTTTGAAATTTACTGCAGGTAAAAATCTTGAACTTGTCTATGTAACTATACTGCCTCTCTACCCTCCTAGGGTAGGGGTAAGGTCTGCGTGTGCACTACCCTTCCCAGATTTGTGGGACTCTAGTGGGTTTGTTGTTGTTGTCTATGTGACTATATTATTTGTTCCTGTTATTTATCTACATATCAAATTTTACCTTGTGAAATCTGTGTTTTGCAATCTTTGTTGATGACATCAAGGTATTATTACTGAGAGATGGTACCTTTTAGGCATTTTCTGCAAAGAGGTCTGTACTGTTTTATCTTAAAAATCTGTATAGCCAAATTGCGATTGAGGCTTACAATGCGGTCGAATGCTGTGAAGCTAAGGTTATAATATATGAGTGTTGGTTGTGAATTGTGATACATCTTTTTGGTTCACCTGAAATCTTCATTTATCAGGCAGATAATAGATTCTATTTGGCTTAAATAGTTTACTAGTGGCTGTAAAATATTTGTGGAACAACAGCTTTCGTGTGCAAAAGATTTACTGGTATCTTTTATCCCCTTGTTTTTGTAAAATACTCTTTTTCGAATTTGGTTGAAGAGGATGTATAGTAGGACACTGTTAGTGAAGACTGACGAATGATACCAAAATATTGATAATACTGACTTTAAGACACTTGGGCATATGTTAAATGTATTCAAAACCTGTTTAGTGCAATTTGGATGCCTAGCAACTGAATTCCTAGTGCCTTTTTGTTTTGGACAAGGAATGCTGTGAAACTAAACCATAATTTACTTTTCCCGAAAGGTATATGAGCTTTGGCAATAATGGAAATGGTGCCATGAACACCGTAATGCCTTGTACTTTTAGGATGGTATGAAACTCAGCTTGCTAACATTGCTGGGATATACGAGGAGGATTATAGCGGTCAGCGTAAAACTCGTCAATTTTAATACAGATTTTGTCCTACACTTGTACTTGTAGGATGGTATGACGCTGTTGTGTGAGACCAATATGCAACTGAGTGCTAAGAGAGGGCTACAATCGGGTGAAAGTTCCATTATTTCCCTTGGGCAAAGGTGGTAACGGGTGGATAAAAAAGTTAATTTCTCCCTACATTTTTATTGCAGAGTGTATTAAAATGGTCATTATCTCCAAAAACAAAGTCTTTCGAAGTAATCTTGATATAATTGCAATTATTATAGGTTCTAACTTCTAATAGCGTGTTTGGCCAAACTTCTGCTTATTTTGAAAATCGCTTTTCTCAAAAGCAAAAAAAGTATTTTTTGTGAGAAGTAGTTTATGTTTGGCTAATTAATTTGAAAAGCACTTTTGAGCAACAATTAGTATTTGGCCAAACTTTTAAAAAGTACTTTTCAAAAAAGTGCTTTTGGAGAGAATAATTTTTTTCTGCTTTTCCAAAACTGCTTCTGCTTCTACTTAAAAATATTTTTTTCCCTTAAAAAAGCTTGGTCAAACACATTAATTTTGGCAAAAAGGCACTTTTGACCAAAAACAAATAAGCTTGGCCAACCAGGCTATAAGTCTAAGAAGCATGTGCGAAGTTCCCTTCCACAAAACAATGGGCGTGAAAAGAAGCTAAGTTCAAGCGGGATTAGGTAACAGGTACACTAAGGAATCATAAAAATAAAAAAACGATTCTGACAAATAGATGTGCTTGTTTAAGACGTATAACTTTGTTAGTGGGGTACATTGCATGGGATAGACCATTTGATTAGACGATTAAGCTTTTGGTTCACTTAGGTATGGTTAGATAATGCAAATTCGACTTTGCATTTTGACCCATTGAGTTGCAATATTTTACAAGATCAATTCGGTTTGCAGCAGTCTGAGACAAGTCCCTCTACTGCTTCTCGGGATGCAATTGACAATCAAATATCCCAATATTTGAGTCTTGAGATGAGAAGGATATGTCCATAGAAACACCAAAGTAAAACACATCAAAATACGACACAGCAGAAATGTCCCCAAATTCAAGATATAAACCAAACTGAAAGTTAAGTAAAAATAGACTCAAAACTCAGAAGCATTACTTAATGCAAAGGACATCGCGTACACAAATAATACAACCAAAACCTATTGTTACACCCACTCAGCAACTATTTCAACCAGAAAACAGAACCTGACCTTAAAAGTGAGACAACTTCTGCAAACGTTCACACGCTTGAATGATAGACTAATAAAGCCAACCAATTCCCAACCCCACCTCAAGAAAAAAAACAAAAGAGAATCCCCCTTAACCACCCCTTGCACTTGACTGAAATTACACCCAAATTGGTTGGCAAAGAAATGGCATTATGAACCTCAAAACTATAAGGGCGAGTGCATGGCGTGCATACCCCTCAGGCTGAAGCACTTTCATCCTTTTTCTCTGTATCCTTGGATGGATTCTCATCCTTACCATCCCCTTCCTTGGTTTTGTCTTCGACTTCACCTTCGTTTTTCTCTTCAGGCTTTTTATCTTCAACACTTAACTTCTCAAGCAGTCCAGCAGCAGTAGATCCATCTTCATTTTCCTCTTTCTTTTGTGATTCAGCAACCTCTTGAAACATCTCCATGAAAGACTTGCAATCTAAGAAGAAAAACATGTCAGATTAAAAAATCATATCGGACAAGAGAAAAGGGAAAAACAGAGGAACAGTGTTAAAATTTAAGGCAGCACAATTGTATGACCCCTCTCCATTGAAGTGTCTAGACAATTATCTAATTATATAAAAGTCAAATACTGGAACTCCAACCCCTCAAGGCAAACATGCAGTGATGCATGCAGCTGGTGCATAAAACAATCAGCTTATTACAGACCTAATGAATCATAAGATTATCTTCACACTCAGCCAGTTACATTCCACACCTTATAATCCAAAACATTCCTCAAGCCCATGAAAAAGCAACCTTCCACAAAAAGAATAAGCTAAGAAAATATTACTCACTGGATATGTTACTGACCATGGTCTTTCACCACCATAGCCATGGAGATATATTTTGATTCCATGAAACATCCAAGCTCAGTTCTTCTCTAGACGCCAACAGAGACCTCAACAAAGAAAATATGACGCATAGATTCTCCGGAATCTCAATCAAGCAAAGACTAGGCTTTGGGTGCACTGATGATTCTAGCAAAGGAATGTCCCATTTAGCCTATTTGGTATTACTTCCTTTTGCTCTTTATAATCCCGGTTACATCAATGAAGTTCTAGGCCTACTGTTCATGGGCCTGAGGTATGGCATGGCCATAAAGAGGATATACTAATCTATATCCTAAAGCACAAATTTCAAAAGTAAAATCACTCTAAATATTGAGTTAGCAGAACATTTAAGAATAAACTCATCAATTCATGAGTTTTAGATGTATCCAGAGGTACAGCCAAGAGTGTGGCTTAGTGATCAATGAAGTAGGTTGAGAACTATGAAATTTCATGTTCAAATACACTAGGTGATTTCTTCCAATTATCCAAGCCTTGGTGAATAAAGTTACCCAATACCTGTGCTAGTGGGAGGTAGCTTGTGTCCCGTGGAATTAGTCGAGTTGCACGCAAGCTGGCCCAAACACCATGGTTATCAAAACCAAAAAAAAATGTATCCAGATTGGCTGAGCAAATTCTTATACTCCTAACAATGTTTACTCCTTCCAAGTTCTATTCCAACTTATCAACCAAGATTTTCTATCTGAACAGTATTCAACTTACACATATCTGCAGGCATGCATATACAAAAACAAACAAAATATACTAGGGCTCTTCCCCTTTCTTTTTGAACAGTAGGGACAGCAGGTTTATATTCACACAGAAGTTAGGGCTTTGGTTTACAGTGGAAAGAGTGATGGTTTGATGAAGCAATTGAAACAATCAGCTAATTTGCAGCCTTAAGTTACGAGGAAGAATGACGAAAACGGGTCAGTTTTAGACTAAAGATCTGAGATGGAAAAAATTAATCATGTTCCATATATTCATTTCACTTTAGATGAAAAGGAAACACATCATGTGCGTTTAGCTTGCCGATGGGCTCCGTGTTTATTCACCTTTTGACTAACTCACAAGTCCAATGTGAAACACATGTGCAGCAAACTTTCTTGTTCTGATTTATCAACTAAATTATATAACATAAAGGGTGTGTTTGGTATGACGGAAAACATTTTCCGGAAAATGTTTTCCCATTTTCCACTGTTTGGTTGCACAAAATAGTTTGTAAAATATTTTCCTAGATATCACATTTTTCTAAAATTGGAGGAAAATGACTAGCCTAAAAAAAAGTTAGGGTGAGATTTTGGGGGGGGAGGGGAACGGTACTTTTCAATCTTATGTGACACAAAAAACACTAGGCTATTTCTTTCCATCCGCCTAAACCTTGGTGGGCAAAATTACCCGGTACTTGTGCTGATAGGATGTGGCAAGTACATAGAGGATTAGTCCGAGAAAAACGAAAAAACAAAAAATTGAAAATACAAAAAAGTAATTTTTTTTTGTGGGGGGGGGGGGGGGGGNTAGGTGGCGTAGAAAAACGGAAAAAAACAGAAAATTGAAGTTGGAGGGGGTCGGGGTTAGATGTGAGAGTAGATAGAGTTTTTGGAAAATGTTTTCCTAACTTTTTTTTAGGCAAGTCATTTTCCTCCAATTTCAGGAAAATGTGATATCTAGGTGGCGTAGAAAAACGGAAAAAAACAGAAAATTGAAGTTGGAGGGGGTCGGGGTTAGATGTGAGAGTAGATAGAGTTTTTGGAAAATGTTTACGCTCAGTCAGCCAACCACCACCCCAACCCCTCAGGGCTACTGCTGCCCAACACATGGGATAAAACAGTATTTCCATTCTTCACCCATGTTTTAGTTGATATTAATTTATTTCTTGCTCTCACATCTTTTTGAATTATTTCATAGCCTAATTTATCTACAAGCTTTATAACTTCACTAACATTTATTTCGTGCCTACTAGTCAAATTTTTGTACGGAAATTACTTTCAAATAAATTATAACAATTTGACACAATTAGCCTGAAGAGACTTTTCTCGCCATCTATGCCCCAAAAAAGGACACTGACATTATAATCTCAGTCAAAGTACCCTACCTATAGTTTGTTGGTATTATGGTCCATCATGAACCCAAAAAACTCTAAGAGGCAAAAGGAAACAAATACAGAATTACATCTAAATAATGGTTTAAATTGCTGAATTTGATGCACGCTCAAAATCTAATCATATGATTCGCACTTCTCACTTCTCAGACATTCAATCTTCCTGATCAGCGTCAATTGAGTGTAAAAAGGAAAAGGAAAAGAAATATTTAAAAGTACAATTGCAAAAATAAATAAAAAATAAAAAAATCACTTAAGGTTTACAAACAATTTTTCCCTCTGATAGATTCTAGCCTTTTTATTAGTTCCACACTCACACAGATTTGCAATACAGGCTTTAGCTACAGCATAGCCAAGCCTGAGTTGGTTTCTAACAGGAAAAGGATCAGACTGGAGTTAAAATATGGCAAGGGGGAAAATTAATGTTTGATTGAAAATTATGGCCCATCAGGATTTGAGAAGTAGAGAGAAACATGCAATTCATGGTATGTCGGAAACCCAGAACAATTCAGTGGTTAGGTTAACTGAATAAGTTTCTTTTTTTTTTTAATTAATTCTTTCTGAAAAAATTTCTATAAGCTGTTTCATGATACATCTTGATACTTCAACTGAAAAGATGTCACTTATGGAATCTTCTCATAAATGATACAGATGTGCAGATGTAAAACTTCTACCTGAAATGGGTAAAACTCTAAAACAAAGGAAATAACACTCAGGCATTAATCACAGCATATCATCTCAGAGAAAAACAGAATATATCCATACATAAAATGGTTGATTTTGCAACTATAGAGATAAAGGAAGGTACTGCCTATATTTATCCCCCAAAAAATAAGGAAGCAATTGCGTATGTAAAGCATAGCGGGCCCTAGACTAGGATAAAGGAGGAGGATTGGAAGGTTGACTATCAAGCATAAGAAATATTTAATTACGATAACTCCTCTAGATTGATAGTGATAGAGAAAACTACTATAATGATGTGCTAACAAGGCAGACAAAGGATTGATGAATGAGAAATTATCAAGTATTGTCTTCATTAATTTGCTGGATCTCCCTCCAACTAACAAGAAAACTTAGAAACAAGTAGATAAAGATAGTGATCCAGAGTTGAGATTACTCACTCTCAATAGATGCAAATCTGAGGCAGAAAAGCTCATCTTTCAGTTCACCATCAGCAAAATCTGGTGCATGCCACAAGCAAGACTTCTCATTTCCAGCATGTTCCTGAAGCGTCATCGTTGGGAGAACTGGATAACACATCCAAAACATATACTCGTCAAGAAAAAATTAAACCCAAAAAAACAGATGAGAAGATAAACTATACTTCAGATCACCAAGTAAATGAAACTGATTCATAACGAGAATTAGGACAAAAGTAACTACACAGTAAACTGCTATAAAGATCCTCTATATTCATTATACTTCATTCGAACAAGTTTCACTAGAATACTCAATAATTTCTTTGACAAAGTAGGGGTCCTCTAAGACTACAGATTCCCTTCTACTGAGGCAGAAGCATTGGTGGAGGTTGATCCCACCATGTATTTGGTGGACAATTTGGTTGGAGAGAAATTCAAGATCAAGGTGCTTTGAAGATAGAGCTAACACTGATCAGAAGATTAAGACGAATTGTATATTTTTGTTTCACTTTTGGTGTAAAGAAGCTCTGGTAGAGGATGTAGAGTCTATAGTGGATATTATTGGGTCTTTGTAACTATCACAAGTCTGGGTTTGCGTTTTGCTTTTTTTTCGGGGGTCTTGTAACTATCTTTAAACTATAACATAATCTTTATGCTAAAGGTTTTTTTACTTGTTTTATAAAACTTGTTACCTTCTCAAAAAAAAAGACTACAGATTCCCTAAATCACATCTCTACACTAACATACAAATCTCTTTCCTAACTCAAACGATTCCTGCTAACAGGACAATCTGTCAACAGAACATAGAATAGTAAATTTAATTTCAAAAAGGTTGAGAAATCTATATCCTACTTTACACTGAATTTTACATTCTTTATGCATGTAGTCCAAATCTCGTCATCCTTTTATAGATATAGGGAGTATAATATTTTTAATACCTCTTATATGCCTCTATATATCTCTTTCCATTTTGTTCAATTCTAAAAAGATCGACACCTTTTAGATACTAGGACTTAATCTTAAGCCTTAAGATTCTTACTTTACCCTTTATAGAATGCTCTAGCAGGAATTGTCATGAAATATTCATATAATAAGGAGGGCCCCGAAAATTAATTTTCTTTAAAAGAAAAACATACCAAGGTGGTTGGCACAGATCTTAAGGGTCTTGGATTGGCGCATAACAAGGCGAACTTTGCCAGTTTCCTTATGCTTCAATAGCTTTACAGTTCCAGCACCTCTCTCTTTCCACTGATTCCCATCTTTATCGAACCTATAAAGCTTGGCTTTCCTGCAAATTTCAAAAGAGAAGAAGAAAATCAGATCCGAAATCACACAACAAATTAACTGCATTGACACTCCTATTCGGAACCTACCATCTACATTAGGAAGGTGAGAGCACTAAAACAGCAGATTTGAGGAAATGGTTTATTAATTAACCCTAGAATTGGATTAACGGGCAAGCAATAAACAGATTCAGACGGAAAATTAACTGCATTGACACTCATACTCCGGACCCTAGAATTGGATAAATGCAAAAGGAATGAACAGATTTGAGGCGGACTAATTGACTGCATTGGCACTTATACTTTGAAGCAGTCATTTTTTTAACAACTAGGTTACTAATTAACCCTAGAATTGGATTAATGGACAAGTAATAAAGAGATCCGGATGGACAAGGGCGTAATATATGGTTCGGCCATACCCAGTAGCTTTGACCAAAAGCCTACATATTTGTTACGAAATCCACAAAATATGAACAAATATTAAATTCCGAACCCATTTATTAGCACTTGAGGTCGATATGCTAGAATCCCTAACCCATAAAATTCAAATCCCGAATCCGCCACTGAGTGTAGATATTTAACTACTTTGACACTTGTACTCCACCAATCTTTTTTAAAATAAGGGAACATTTAAATTGAATTACTGGACAAGCAACAAAGAGATTCCCACTAAAAGTTAACTGTGTTGACACTTGTAATCCAAACTCATTCTATTTTGAAAGAAGTATCTAAAGCGGCATATTTGAACAATTGGGTTATTAACTAACCCAAGAATTGGATTAATGGACAAGCAATAAAGAGATTTCCGTGCAAATTAATTGTGTTGATACTCGCCCTCCAAACTCCAACATCATTCTAACGGAAGAACATATAAAAACAGACATGTTTGATAAATTGGGTCATTGATCCGATAGCTTTGACTCAGCCCCTGTAAATGTGTTGTTTAAAAAATACACTAAATAAGTACAGACAACTGATTTCGACCCCAGTAAATCAAATGAGTTGACGGTAGAATCCCGAACTCGAATCCATCATGGATTCATCTTGAAGGAGTATTGAATTTGATCAATTGGATCATTAATTAAACCCTAATTTTAGATCAGTTGACACAATAAAGAGAAATATGAAAAAGAGAAAGAGAATTACAAATCAATGATGGGATCTTCATTCTCCTCGCCAGTTGATACGGCAACTTCTTCGAGCTTGACAATTGGGGCAACCTGAGCTCCGGTATCTTCATCATCGGCTCCGGCTGCTTCTTCTTCCTCTTCCCTGTTCTCGTGCTTTGGCTCAGTGCTTGCCATTGATATTGGATGTGATGCAGAGAGGATTGTAGAGAGTGAAACAGTGGAGCAGAGGTTTTGAATCAAACCGTTTGATTAATGAATGGAATGATGTCTAAGGACCAAGGGTTTTATATAGGAGTTCTTGAGGGTTTTGAATGAATAGGGTTTCTTTAATAATCAATTACTACTCCAATTTCTTTTAAATAGAATGAAGTAATTCAAATTAAATTATTATTATTATTATTATTATTATTATTATTACTATTGTTTAATGTTAGAGAACTAATGAAACTAAAGTGGTTTGAAGTTGTTTCAACTTAGCATCATGGAGATAATGCTTCAAAGATAGGATTCAAAATTTGGACTTTATATGTTCAGAATTATACTACAACTCATTTAATTTATTGGATTTGAATCAATAATGCTTTGGATTCAAAATTTATACTTTTTATTCATTTATTAAATTTTTTTATCGCGTACAAGATTCGAATCAATAATGCTGGGTTCAGATCAAATGAATCCATAACTCACAATCTACCTCCACCCCTTAGTGCTCTACCATGCTGCTAAGAACAATAATCTTCTTAAAACTTATATAGTGAGACCTCTATAACAATTATCTTTTATAGCAGTCAAATTTTATTTGAAACAATTCATGTTATATTTTAATATATATTATCTATAATAACACTTTACTATAATAACCAAAAAATATCGGAACAAACTAAACTGCTATAAAAAAATTTATCGGTAAGTCTGTAACTTATTCACTTCAATAATGGCACTTTATTGTTTTTGTTAATATTTTCGGTATGGAGTGGCGGATAGTACATATTAATAACACACTCTCAGCTATCCTAGTTAGAAATTGAGAAGAGTACAAAACATCTTATTGAAGCTTTTGATAATAGAGCATTATAGCATTGGAAGCCCAACTGAATAATTTAAACATGACAAAAGTGTCAAGACAAGGACAAAAACTGCCCATGCCATTCTTGTATTGCAAAAGGCCGTAAAGATCCACAACTACCTCAATATCCCACATTTAACTAACAATCAACAAATAGTTCTTGGAATTGAATCAAATCAAAGTTCTAGCAACATATCAAGATTCAGCACCATTTGATTCTCCTTCCATAGGCTCAGCTTGGGATGAGTCTTCTGTCTTCTCACCTTTCTTCGCTGCAAATCAAAGGGTGGATAGATATCGTGAGAATTCATATCAATCACCAGCTACAACTACATCTCAATCTCAAACAAGTTAGGGAATGAGAATTCAAAGCAATCGACAGTTACAACTACGCCTCAATTCCAAGCAAGTTGGAATCGACTATAAAAATCGTCACTATTCATGTCGCTCCGTTAAAACTCATCTTAGTCCAATATTATATACAATAAAATTTAAAAAAAAAAAAAAAACTAGAGAAATTCTATATATTCTCTGGTGGCATATAAATCTCTGAGGACTAAAACTCCTACAAGTTATTGGACATATAGCAACGCACTAACATGACTAAAACTTAATCTCAACTAATTGGCATCCATCTTTTTATTCCATTAAAAGCAATTACTGGTTACGTTGTCAAATATTATCCTGCATATTTCCATCATATTATTACATTTATCTCCAAGAACATGCTTGCTTCACGACGAATCAAACACTACATTACTTCAGTTATTTTTCAAATGCCTTCTGAACTTACCTTTCTTTTTCTTCCCACCACCTTTCTTCTTGGTTTTTACGGGAAGGGCTAACCAGGTCTTGATTTCAGGTTCCTCATCTACTGTCTTAGTAGGTTTCAGCTCCTGTAGAGCATGAGTTGTGATCCTATCTGACCCGTTAGGCATCAACAGCACTGTGAATTTTATGTGAGCAACCAAATCACCTGCACATCAACACAAGAAAAAAATAAAGGAAAGGAACATTATCTGGAAAATGGAATTTCAGTAAGAATACAGGAAAAATATACTGCTTAAGCATAACATTGCATTAAAGAACTGAGAGCTAATATGGTGCGGACCAGGTTTCTCATGTAGAACAGGATACGGCTGCAAAAGCTCATGGTTAACACATTCAACGAGTCCCAAACGAGCTCTCTTCTCCTCCAAATCCCTGTTCAAGTAAAGAAGAACAAGAAGACAACATGATAATCATGAAACTTACTCCCTCCGTTTCAAAAACAACGAAACAATTACTGTTTCGGGAGTCATACAAGGTTTTTTACCATATTTTTGCAAATAGTTTTTAAATATTTTGAATTGTTAACTATTGTGATTTAAAGTACTTTTTACATAGTTTCTAAATGTGTAATTTTATTTCAAAAAACCTAAAGAGCCTATGTCTAAATTCACCGAAAATTAGTCAATTCAACCCTCGTACTCCGAAAAGGTTCAAACAAATTTAAAAAGTTTCTAAATGTGTAAATTTTATTTCAGAAAACCTAAAGAGCCTATGTTTGAATTCACCGAAAATTAGTCAACTTGACCCTCATACTCCGAAAAGGTTCAAACAAATTGAAACGGAGGAAGTATATATTTACTACAGCACACTGTTACATGAGAAAATATTGAAAATCGTGATGACCTTGCTGTAAATGGCATGACAGGGAACTTCTGACTGATTTCACTGAAAATAAACCTCGATGCTTTCATCTTCAGGTTGTAGCTTTTATCTACAGCTCTCTTGTAAATAGTTGTTTGTTTCTCATCCAACAACTTTGGCTGCAAAATTTTGAGATTCATTTGAAAATATTTAGTTTCCATGTAATTGTAAAGGCATCAAATGTTGCAACATTTACCTTTCCTTCACCAGTGCTTGTAACAATGTCAATTGAATAGACCTCATTCTCCTCAAATTCTGCGTCATCTACTCTCGTTTCAGGATTGGACACACTCAACACAACTTTGTTTCCGTCAATCACAAACTGCTTCATTTGATGACTTAAGACACCCTCAACAATCTTGCAGTCATATGCCGCAGCAACTTTCTGAATAGCTTCTGTGACATCCGAGTTCTGCAATGTCAAAGAAACTGAGCAATAAGTATCTAACAGAAAACATTTAGAGCACTGAAAACATTTGGTTTTTGGACAATTGTTATGGGGTTGGTGTGAGATTGGGTCTGTTTTGGGGGGGGGGGGGGGGGGGGAAATATCACTAATACCCTCAATACAATTTTGAGGCTTTCATATTGGTAAAATTAATATTTAAAGATACATCTTTGTGATCTACTAAGAGCATTTCCGATATAAAAATAATTTTTTGGACGAAGGGGGAAAATTGTTGCAGAGAGGAAAAAGAATTACGGCCAAAATGTTATCCCTTTCAGCTTTTTCAAATGTGGCCACAATTTTCCATCCCAAAACACTTATTTCAGCTTTTGCAAATGTGGCCATAGTTTCTAGTAAGGTACAAATGTGACTAAATTTTTTTCATCCCAAAACACTATTTTCATGCTTTCTGTTATCTAGATATTTTCTGTAAACAACCAGAGAACAATCATTTGTTTGTTTGGTTTCAAAAACAAATTAATAGCTTTCCCACAAACAAACACTACATAAGATAAAATTTATTCCCCCGTTAAAAGTATCTTCGAGGTTTCTGACAGATGGTTTCACATGCTTTTCACAAACTGCTTATTGACAGATCAATGAGCTAAGGGGCAGAATGCTGATAAAGATCATATATGATTACATGGTTCAACAAAAAACAGGGGAACATATTGCACGAGATTAAGCATAAAGAATACATGTCAACTTATTATTTGGCAATACATAATCTTAGAAAAACAGAGAAGACTATTTTATAATCACAGAAAAGTGCCAACTTGGATCTCAAGCTTTGGCAATCAGTAAGTCGTATTTGTGGTTCATTCATATCCATACAAATCGGTAATTCAATGCCCTTACCCACACATTCACCACATTCTTACTACATAATCAAACCCATCCAAAACTCATTCTGTCATACGTGAGCTTGTAGATATGAAGGTATTCTTTGACATACAATTGGGAAGCCAATCCTTTCAAAAGACAAAACAAAGACTATCATTTTAAAACAACATATAACCATATTTTCAGGCATTGATACTCGTGCAGTCTCAACAAGGGAATGGTATGCATATATGTGGTGGTAACTAAAGTCTGAAAAGCACGTCTCAACGCAAGAAAATGTTTCCCAATATCCTCCAATATATAACATCTAATACCAAAAGGGAGCATTGGAGCAACAGTAAATTTGTCTTCTGTGACCTACAGGTCACAGCTTCGATCCGTTAAATTAGCCACTAACGCTTGCGTTAGTGTAGGCTGTCTACATCACACCCTTTGGGTTGTGGCCCTTCCACAAACCTTGTATGAACGTGGGATACTTTACGCACCAGGCTGCCCTTTTAAATAACATCTAATACCCTAGCATTCCATAATAAACAAAGATTTTGATAAAACATTACCTTCCTTCCTGGTCTCACAAGCCTCAGAGCAACTTCAGCAGCTGTATTAGCGGCCGCAACAACATCAGCAGCTCTACCAGTAACTGGTCCTTCCTGGAGCACATGTGTATGACCAACTACAGCAATAAAGCCATCTATATGACACCCCATATCACTGCACAAAAATAACCATGTCTTACTCTTACAGACAGCTCATCTAATTCCAGAATACAGTAAAAGACATCAAAAAGCAACTTCATGTTCAGCATTAAACAATTAAATCTCAATGAATAAGAATTGGATCAGGAATAATTTTTTCATTTTTGGTCCGCGGCCCAAAATAATTACGGGTGATAGCCCAATTATACAAAACATATACGCTGATTGTGTACAATAAGATATGAATATTATATGTATATTTATACTTAATATATAAAACATATAAATTAGCCGGCTATTTTTTGGGCAGCCCAAAAATGTAATTATTCGAAATAAATAAACAGTTCTTATGTTGAATTCACGGCCAAATTTCACATACAAACTACACTTCTCTTTCCTACCATGCGCAATCACATAACAAAGAAATGATCATCTCAAAGTGCTCTAAAATATTACTTACATCTTCACTATATCACCTTCTTCCAATACTGTCTCATCACTAGACAGTGGAGAAAAATGGCACACGGTATTGTTAACTGAAATGCAGGTTGGAAATGCCACACCCCTC